TCCATGGGAGGGTGCATATCTGTTGCTCAAGTATGGTGGTGCCTAAAAAGTCCATTGTTTGTTGCTTTCCTTTATCTATGTATATTAGGATTAGTACTGATGGGGTGGTCATAATAATCTGGCCACTCAGTGTATAGGCATACTGCTCAAGCGTGTCAAGAAAAAATTGTTATATTTTATTAATGGGTATATTTCATTGCTCCTCCTTGTAACTCTCTCTCTCTAATTTTCAGGATCGCTTTCAGAACTGCATATAGCCCCAAGATGGGACCTAGTAGGTCCCAAAATCATTAAACTTTACAACAGAGGATATCATTTAAGCTCCAAACTTTCTGCATTAATCAATGGCTAATACAATGCAAGTTCTACTAATCCTGTAAAGGAAAAATTGTAAGTGCACAAATTCCTTCAGAATTCCTGTTAGAATGCACTGGTTAGTGACTTCTGCTGGACTCTTCCTTCCATTTCCTGCTTATGCCTTCTCTCTTACTGACATTCTTTCAGCCCCCATTCTCTACATGCAAGGAGTTCTTATGGACATCCAGCTCATTAATTGTATGAACTATACATCACAAGATTTGACTCTTTTGTGAGATGAAAGCTCCTAATTAGACATTCCCTGCTTGGGTGAATACAGCACATGGCTTTCTGCGATGTGTGCTGTCTTGTGCTCTGATGTCAGGAAGCTAAAAATGAATTACGTTTTTGCATATAAGAGCACATTATTAATGGAGAAGGTGTGACATAATGGATCTATGCCAGCAACTTCAAGTGATATTGAATTTGGGATTCTATGAGCAGCGGCCCCTAAAGTCTATTGTTTACAGACACAGCTAAAATACATACTGTACATGCAAGGCCGTCCCTAACCGCCACCAGAGGCTGTAAAGCGGGGGGTAGGGGGCGGGCAGGGGTGGCGACTGACGCGGTAGGGCAGACCGCCATGTTAGAGACTTACTGTTATCACTGGTCGCTAGGAGCTCGGCGGGATGCCAGCCAGAGTGTGCA